CAGGCGCCCCTTATTAGATTATTTAATTCTTCTCCAACTTTTTTATTATAGATCAATACACAAAATCTCCCATTTTTAAGATGTTCTGAATTTTTTTGTATTTCTTGTAGTTTTTTTTTTTAAAGATTTTATTTATTTATTTGACAGAGAGAGACACAGCGAGAGAGGGAACACAAGCAGCGGGAGTGGGAGAGGGAGAAGCAGGCCTCCCGCCGAGCAGGGAGCCCAATGTGGGGCTCGATCCCAGGACTCCGGGATCATGACCTGAGCCGAAGGCAGACGCTCAACGACTGAGCCACCCAGGCGCCCCCCCCTTTTTTTTTTAAGAGAGGGAGAGGGACAGAGGGAGAGGGAGAAAGAGAATCTTAAGCAGGCTCTGAGCCCAGCACAGAACCCAAAGGGGGCTCGATCTCACAACCCTGAGACCATGACCTGAGCTGAAATCAAGAGTTGGATGCTTAACCAACTGAGCCACCCAGGTGCCCCATAGTTTTTGTTTTATTATAAATGTTGAGGGGCGCCTGGGTGGCTCAGTCGGTTAAGCGTCTGCCTTCAGCTCAGGTCATGATCCCAGGGTCCTGGCCCCGTGTCGTCGGGCTCCTTGTTCAGCAGGGCAGCCTGCTTCTCCCCCTCCCTCTGCCGGCTGCTCCCCCTGTTTGTGCTCTCTTTCTGATCAATAAATAAATAAAATCTTTTAAAAATACTATTGGGATGCCTGGCTGGCTCAGTCAGTAGGCATGTAACCCTTGATCTCTAGGTTGTGAGTTCAAGCCCCACACTGGGTATAGAGGTTACTTAAAAATAAAATCTTTTTTAAAAACTGCCTATATTTTCTCATTTGTTGCTTATTGTTCTAAACTCAACATTTTCAGATGTTAAGATTCTCTTCTCACTTCCCTTTGTTTGGAATTGTCAAGTGTGATTTTATATTTGCCCTTCTATTTCTAATCTTTCCAAATTGTCTCTTAGATTTTGGGTTTTGCTTTGTATTTCAAACTGAATATATTTGGTCGTTCAGTAGACAAGGTTACCCTGATTTTGTCTGTACACATGACAGATCTATTTGATCTTAGGTCTCCCAGTCTATTTCCTATGGTTCATGCTGTTTTCATTGCTTTTGTCTTTTAATCTTTTGTCATGTGGTCCTGGTTTCCTTCATATTATTTTGGGCATGTTTCTTCTATAACAAAGGGAGGGACACTTCTGAAGGGTTTGTGGGGAGCCAACATAACTGTAATACACAAATCTGAAAAGTATGGACCAAAAAAGCAAGCAATAGATCAGTTTTATTTGCAAATATCAACACAAAACTACTAATTAAAATACCAGCAAAAGTTTGTCTGCTGCACGCTGGTTTATGTTTATAGCATGAACAAATGAAGTTTATTCCAGTAATGCAAGAAGGGTTCAATATAAGGACATTTGTTAATATAATTTATTATATAATGGATCAAAATGAATAGTCATACATGATCATCTCCATAAACGCTGAGAGGTAATTTGATAAAATTCAACAGGTATTCTTGATTCAAAAAAATAACTCCAATAAAATAGGGACAAATGGATACTTCCTTATCATCATATACTATCTCTCTCTCAACTCAAAGCCTACATATTCTGTGAAGAAACAATGCATATGCCGACTCAACGATATGAGAAGCCCTGGAAGAGTAAGTGCTATTGTGTAATATTGTTCTGAAAATACCTGACAATGTTTTTAGACTTTAAGTATGTCTCTTAAAATGGTGTATAGCTAGATTTTATATCATACAATGTGACAATTTTCTCTTTTAACTGGAGGGTACAGTTCATTTGTATTTATTATGACTGGTGGTATATTTGTATTTATTTCTACTATATTATTTCATGCTTTTTATTTGTAACATTATTTTTCAATATTTTCATTTCCCTTCTTGCTTTCTTTTGGATTGATTTGTTTTGATCCACCTGTGATAATGACCACCAAAAATGCCCATGCCCTAATGTTCAGAACCTGTGAATATGTTACCTTACATGGAATAGGGGTCTTTGCAGATATGATTAAGGTTAGGGACCTTGAGATGGGGAAATTATCCTGGATTAGCAAAGTGGGCCTAATCTAATTACATAAGTGCTTAGAAGTGGAAAACCTTCCCCAGTTATAGTCAGAGAGAGATGTGACAATGTAGGAAGAGTAAAAGAGCTGTAACCTGCTGGCTTTGAAGATGGAGGAAGGAGGTCATGAGCCAAAGAATTCAGATGGCCTCCCAAAGCTAGAAAAGGCAAGTAAATGAATTCTCTCTGAAAGCTTAGAAATAAATGTTGCCCTGTAATTTGTTACAACAGCAGTAGGAAAATAATACGCCATCCATTTCTTGACTCTATTAATTTGGAAGTTGTACACTCTTTCTACTATTTTAGTGGTTACCTTCGAAATTTAAGCAAGCATTTTAACTTTACTAAAGTCTAAATTTGGTCAATATATTTCCTACTAAGTGTCACATGAACATTATATTTCTGTCTTTTTCTTATACACATACTTTATCATTACCAGGTTTTTGTAGTTAGTGTTCATTTAAATTTACCCACATCTTTTTTTTTTTAAGATTTTATTTATTTATTTGATGGAGAGAGACACAGTGAGAGCAGGAACACAAGCAGGGGGTGTGGGGGAGGGAGAAGCAGGCTTCCTGCCGAGCAGGGAGCCCGATGTGGGGCTCAATCCCAGGACCCTGGGATCATGACCTGAGCCGAAGGCAGACACTTAATGACTGAGCCATCCAGGCGCCCCTAAATTTACCCACATCTTTACCACGTTTTTTGTTCATCATTCTTGTATATCAGATCATTATTTGGGATCAGTTTCTGTTATAGATACATCTTTTAAGATACCCTTAAATATTATCTATGTTACATTAAATTTTTTATTTTATTTTTACTATATTAAAATACACTTATATATGATACATATTAATGTATTTTTTTAAAGATTTTATTTATTTATTTGGCAGAGAGATACAGAGAGAGAACAAGTAGGCAGAGAGGCAGGCAGAGGGAGAGGGAGAAGCAGGCTCCCCGCCGAGCAGGGATCCCGATGCGGGGCTCGATCCCAGGGCCCTGGGATTATGACCTGAGCCGAAGGCAGCCGCTTAACCGACTGAGCCACCCAGGTGCCCCTATATAAATGTATTTTAATATAATATATATAACTTTTTTATTGTCCATCTCTCTATGAAGACAGGGACATTTTTGTCTGCTTTGTTCACTGCAGGATCCTTAGAATAGTGCCTGCCATGCTCAATAAAGATTTGTTGAACATGAAGTAATAATGTCCATCCACACTCTGGGACATTTTTAGGAAATTCCCTGTTCTTGCTGTGGCTTGCTGCAAGTAACTGACCCCCTAAGAGACCAGACCCCAGAAGCTTGGCCACACCACAGCAAACAGACATTGCACTATTGCTTATCCTTCACTTCAAGAGCAATCACCAAACCAAAGTTACTCACAGTACAGTTTTCAAAACCGTCCTGCTCAAGGTGGGCAAAGACTGCTGACACAAATTTGGAAACAAAAAGGCTTTACTCTCTGTGAAAGAATGAGCTAAAAATAATACCATCTCTGCCCAAAGGACTGTAAGAGAAATTATATACCTTAAATCACAGCATTAAGCAGAAAAGTAAAAAAGTTCTCTGAATATTTATGATCAAAAGTTTGCCACCATGCTTCCTTGCAGCCTCAAATCTCATCTCTCAGCTATTATGGGTTATCAAGATTATGGATACCATAATTCTGCTAGCTTCCTGAAAACCTTTTGGAAGTGTAGCTCCCTTTGCTATGCTCTGGAACACAAACACATCGAAAATAGAATAAAACAAATTACAACACATGATGAAAGATTAAAAGACATAAAAGCAATGAAAACAGGATGCACAACAGGAAATATGCTGGGAGACCTAAGACTAAATAGATCTGTTATACCCACAAACAAAATTGGGTTATACAGTAGGACTTACCTACCAAAAACCAGAATACTCTCAGGTTGAACCACAAATAGCTAAAGTAGTTCTCAGATTAAGACACAGCCCAAAATACATGTATAAACAGACCAGAAAGAATGAGATTAATTGACTTACACATTCAACTAAAGAAGTTAGAAAAAATAGAAAAGAAAATGGAAGGACTAATGAAATAAAAAGTACAAATGAATGAATTGGAAAATAGAAAAATTATATAAATGCAAGAACTGGTCTTTGGTGGGCCATAAAATAAATAAAACATTAGTATTAGTTTACCTAACTGAGGAAAAAAAATCACAAATACACTCTATCAGAAATGATAGTGGAGAAATAACTACATATTTAGAGAAAATTAAATGAATCATGAGATCACTTTGCTCAAAATTTCACAAATATATTTTTCTTTTTTTTTCAAAATTTCACAAATATATTAAGAACCTTGAGGAAATGGATGACTTTTATGAAAATTACAGGGATTCATATATCTATACCTATATATTGATAGATATATCAACATAAATACATATGTAATCTAAAGAGAGAAAATATAATGAAAGAAATACAGAAAGATTGCCTTCAAATAATGCACCATACCCAAATAAATTCAAGGAGAGTTCTATAATACCTTCAAGGACCAAATAACACCAAAACAGTGCTGACTGTTCCAGACACATTTATTCTGTGAGGGGGATGGGATACTTTGTGAACAAATGCATTCCATATTTACAGTGTTGAAAATCTTCTGAGAGCCTGACCAGATCATTCTGTGGAAGGGTAATCAGAAATACTTAGGAATTGGGGTGGCTGGGCGGCTCAGTCGATTTCAGCTCAGGTCATGATCTCAGGGTCCTGAGATCAAGCCCCACGTTGGGCTCTGAGCTCAGCACAGAGTCTGCTTGTCCTTCTCCCTCTCCTCCTTCCCACCCCCTCAAAAAAATAAATAAAATCTTTAAAGAAAAAAAGAAATACTTAGGAACATATGAGTCTATTCTACAGTTAAGGAGGTGCCACACTTTTTTCATGTCCAACACATCCATAGAATTTCTGTTCAGTGTGAGTTTTTTCATGCACAGTGAGGTCTGACTTCTGGGAAGACCTTCCCACAATCAGTACATATATGAGGTTTCTCTCCTATGTGGATTCTGATGTCCAGTGAGGTATATATGCTGGCAGAATACCTTCCCACAGTCACTGCATTTAGAAGGTTTCTCCCCTGTGTGTGTTCTCTGATATGTGATCATCTGTGATTTCCGGGAAAAAGCCATCCCATATTCAGCAGATTCAGAGGGTTTCTCCCTAGTATGAATTTTTTGATGTATAGCTAATGGAGACTTCTCACAGAAGGCCTTTCCACATTCACTACATCCATATGGTTTCTCTCCAGCATGAGCTCTCTGATGTATAATGAGATGTGACTTCAGGGAAAAGGCCCTACCACACTCAGTACACTCATAGGGTTTCTCCCCTGTATGAATTCTCTGATGAATAATGAGGGGTGATTTCTGGGAGAAGGTTTTGCCACAGTCACTACACTCATAGGGTTTCTCCCCTGTATGAATTCTCTGGTGTATAATAAGAGGTGACTTCTGAGAGAAGGCTTTTCCACATTCTGTACATATATAAGGTTTTTCTCCAGTATGAAGTCTTTGATGTCCAGTAAGGTGTGACTTTTGGGAAAAAGCTTTTCCACAGTCAGTACATATATA